GTTGAGTAGTGCAAACAGACTCAGTGGAAACATAATATGCAAATGCAATAACTAAACAGTAGAACTATCTAATACTAAAACTCTAATCATGTATGTTTGTATTCAAGATATAGCTTAAACAATACATAATGCTCCAACCAATTTAGAAGTAATATTGTAGCTTGAACCCCTGTTGAATGCAGTGCCAAATTTCACTAAATTTTGGCAAGGGGGTTCTTCAGCTAGGGCCATTTTTCTGTTTTTTAGGTTATTTTTAATAGGAAATTAAGTATTTTTTTTCAATACACATTCTTATATAAATCCACTTTCATATTATATTTCAAATATTATGTATGTGATAAATAATGAACATTCATAATACTTTAGAGTAACATTATTAAATAAATTTAAATATACATAACATATATTTATACAATTCATTACACTATATTAGAACTTTTTTTATAAACAAATATCTTAGATGTTTGGCAATGATTTGATAGGTGAAGAGGCTAGGTTATTGTAAAACACAATCAGTATAGCTGGAAAATTGTCACAACTTGATGGTAAATAAATAGATGCATGCTAGTTTACTGCCATTACATATTTTGAAATAAATATGAAGAAGAAACAAGTATGTACAATAAAAAAAATATACTTATTATTTTGAAAAGACTACACGTTATTACTTTTAATTTTTATACAATGTTTTAACTATGAACACCAGTGGAACAATAAACCTTCCACTGTCTTTAATATTAATTATTAATTTTGTATTTAAAGTACATTTTATGGAAGAAATTTCTCTTTTTTAATGTAGAGAAGTAAAACATATCTATTGATATTGTAAAATCAATAATTTATTTTCATACTTTAAATCATGATATATTTGCATGAAAGCATTTTGGGTGCTTTTCATTTGTGTAAATGAAGAGATAAGAGAAGTTAAGAGGCTATATGTATCACATGACTTGATGGTAAATAAATAAATAGATGCATGCTGGTTTGATGCCATTACATATTTTACATAGAAACTGATAGTATTAGCTAGTGACATCCAGGACAACATGTGTACAAGGGTGAACATTAGATCACAAAGGCCACATTCAATATGAAACAACTGAGCATCAAATTTATCAACAAATTGATAAGTAACATGCACTCCAGTTTTCCAAACACATTTAAATTGTGTGCATTTGGTGTGCTGAGTCTCCCTCCTATTTGTTTCATGAGTGAGGAAGAGCTGAAGGAGAAATGAGAATTTGAAAAACCGAATTACCCAATATGGACATGAGAAAACTCACAAATGGATTGAGGATGAAGATGATCAGTCTTGACCAGAGTGTGACCTGCTAAAGAAAGTTTTCAAAGTACAGTACTATTCCAGAGACAGCATCTGGAAACTTTAGATATTAGTGATAAACTATCACCAAAAAGATTTCCCCAACTTCACCATTCTTGCTCAACTGGTATCTACCTTTGGCTGTGAAGTTTCTCTGCTCAGAACCACATCCTCACTGGAACAAGAGCAGATTCTTAAGGTTAAGCTGCAATCGAAACAGTCACAGTCTTCTTTTGAAGAGGTACTAACCAAATGGAAAAAAAAGTCAAGCAGAGAAAGCTGTACACTATGGAGTAAAAGTAATCATTGACAGATGCAATTAATCTGCTCATAATAAACCACAAACATACATGTATCATTTGATCTTTGTCAACATACTTTCTGCTGTTTTGGTTAAGTTTCATTGTTGTGCTAAATGTTTCATAGTGATTGACTAAGTTTCTCATCAATGAAAGTTATATTTGATTATTTTCAGACTGGTGACTAGATTCTGTCAAGATGATGAGAATGTTTTATTCATGTGTTTTAACACATGAACAAATATTCTCAGTACTCTTATTATTTTGGTGCTACTTAGGTGCTATAGTCACCATTTTTTGTTTTCATTTGAATTTGTAGTGTTTTGTTTATACATGCTATATACTTAGTGCTATTTGATAATTTATTTTGGTGCTATGTACTATGTTATTACAGAAAATATATTTTCATTAAATGGTGTATCATACAGATGTGAAAGTTGGACGCATCACTGATTAATTAATTAATCCCATATTTCTAAGGGAGAGCACTTAAAGTTTTAGAGGAAAATTTGCTTAACCCAATTCATTAACTAAAGTCAACAAATCCAATTTCAAAAAAATAAAAAAAATAATTGTCATTAAAAAACACAAAAAAATGTTTTATCAATTTTAAAAAAAAAAACAAAAAAAAACTGCAATTTTTTTTTTTTTAAATTGAACTATGATTAAGTGTAAATAAAAACTGCTTTTGTTTTCTTTTACATTTTTTTATGAATATTAATTAAAAATGTAATTGTAATAGATAAACCTTTTCTGTCAATTAAGTGATTCGAGAGGCTTAAATTTAAAATTGTTTTTCAGAACGATGGTAACAAAAATTAGTCTGGAGCCCAGGTGTTTAGTTTAACTCTACAATTTATTTAAAAAAAAAAAATTAGTTTAGTTGGGACTTGGGAGCCATTGAATTTTCCAGACACCCAAAATCACAATCATCGCTGCATGTCTGTGTATCCATTTTTAAGTGTTATTCAAAAACGTGTTTTCTTTGTATAAACTTATTGAAGAGAAAATATTAACTTTGAAATATTCATTTATTGTTATTGTATTGAAAATTGTGGTTTACATTAAAGAGAAAATTGTTTTAAAATGGTGCCGACAAAACCATTGCAATGCTTATGTCAAAAAATGTCAGAAATGATCTACACTCCACTTGTAGAATCACACCACCACCATCACATACACAGAGTACATAGAAATCATGCGACAAGCATTCATTGGTTAATCTACTCAAAACTAGCTCGCTGATTGGTCAGTTCCGACCAATCAAACCGCCTGCACACGACAAATCTGTTTTCCCGCTCAATATGCTCTGAGCCAGTCACGTGATACACCATCTCATATAAACAAAACACGAGTAGTTCTCTCTTTTTCGTCACTCTTGTGTCTCATTCCTTGCTGCTAAAATGTGACCTTCAAGAACTCTCATCTTAACCTTAAAGAACATTACCATTTCACGCAAGTACAAACTCTAAAATCTCTTCTGAACCCTTACCAACTTTATCCAATACACAATTCCTAACATGCAACAGGAACTTATTCTTCTAAACTACAGTTTAATATTTAATTCACTTTATGAGCTCAAGTACAAATATTTCCAAATCTAAGAGAAATAACTATCAAACCTTCAGCTTATATGCATGTACATCAAACACTAATAAATTCAATGTTTTTGAATCATTACATTCTGTTTTGTATTTTATACTATGTGCTATTTTACATCAAATATAAATTGCATTGTGCACGCCACATTGGATAGTAACCTCCAGCTTCTTTGCTTTCCTTAATCACGCCTTTCCTAGTCAAAAGATAAATATATGTAATACACACCCCTACATAATGGTGACAGGCCGTATGGGATGTTTTCCTTCCCAATTAGTTAACAATATATTTTTTAAAAGTATGTCTGGTTTTCAAAACAGATTTAATTTGATAAAAATGTATTTTATTTTTTAAAACTAGAGGAAGCTTTTTTTTTCTTTTAAAACATGAGAAGGTCGTGGATATTTTACAAGTACTGGTTCCAAAGGAAAAGAATTCTAGTTTTAATCAAAATTTTCCACCACGTAGATGTGTGTGTGTGTGTGTTTGTGGGTGACGATCATTCCCAATACCTTTTTTTTTAGTTTTATGCAGAACTTGGTCGCTTCGTTATACGATATTTTCGAGTACTTAACACACACGCACACAAAAAACTTAAGTCATTTCAACTTTCAGTTCTATTCAATCAGGAAGAATTGTTTATACAAAATTAATATTAAAAAAAAATTAAATGTAAAAATAGTTTTTGTTTCTTTTTTCCATTTTTGTAATTAAAAAAAGTAAATGCAAAATACTGTAAACGTTTTTTTTAACAATTAAAAAGTACTTTTAAATATTACAAGCAGATTTTATTTTTATGTTTTTATTTTTATAGTTTTTATGTTTATATTTTTTACTACAGTTTTTATTTTTAAATTGCTTAAGTTTTACTTTATAATCGACATTTTCCACTTGTATGAATTTTTTTTTCATGTTATTCTTAAATATCGATCTTATTTTTTTATTCCAACGATAGTTAAAAAAAATATATGAAAGAATGGAGTTAATTTTGTTGTAAGGGATAGGCTGGAGAGAAATGAAAGTCTAAAAGTAAAAAAAGAGCCCAAGTTTTAGTAAACTGTAAACAATTGAATAAATTACATTATAATCTGGAAACCAAGCACTGGCCTTTCTCCAATAAAAATACAGCATAAACAAGATATTTATTTTAAAAATTAATGATATTTTTTTAAAAATAAGTCTAAAACATGTTTAGTTTAAAACACTGAAGTTTAACTGATAAAAATAGGGAAAATAAAATATTTAAATAACTTGAAAATTAAAAATAATCTTCCTGATTTTAAGAATTGAAGCGGAAAGGCAGTTTAATTGTATTTCTTATAATAAGGTCCTTAAAGGGATGTTTATTAAAGTAGGAAAATTATTTAAAACGAATTAATCATTCATTAAAATTTTTAAAAACATTGGTAGTCTAACTAAAAAATTCTGTGAAATAACCACACACTATTACAACACGAGCAGAAAAAACAAAACAAAAGAACTTAGCAAAATTATAACCAACACTTATATGGATTCTAATCTGAAATAAAATATTAAACTCTTAATTGAGATTATTTACTAGTTCAAGTTTATGAAGAATATTTACTTTTTAAACTAAAGTAAAAAAAAAAAAAAAAAAAATGTGTCAAGTACACATTCAAAATCTCGAAACTAAAAACACGGATCGAGTAACATAAACATTATAATAACAGACTTTGCATGTATCTGTAATTTTTTTTATTTCTTTCAAGTTTAATTTAACCGGGCTTTCGGATTAAAACATGTTTAAAATGAATACTTACCGTTCATGTTGAAGCTGCTATAACATCTTGATTGTTAAAAAAATGTAAGAAGGAGGTATTCCAAACAGGAAGTAAAAAGACACACGCGCCATGAAAGAACTGCGCAGAAGTGAGAGAATAAACGAATAAACGAATAAGCCATAATAATTATTCTATGGTACAAAAGAATATAAAAAATTTATAGAATTGGTATTCCGTGATTCTTTAATCCATACTTATTCGTTTTTCGAAGCCTCAAAAATATTAAATAAATTTTTTATTTCACAAATTGATAATGACAAAAAAACGCCCTTTCGTCCAAAGGAATGATATAGAAATCTCATAAAATTGTTTAAAAGTTATTTACATAAATTTCCTCAAATTAAGTCTCGAGCGAAACTAATGCTATTTTTCATTTTTAAATCATTCATTTTTAATTTATTTATTTTAAAATAATGATCAAATGAAAAGGAATTTGAAAGGAGCATATAGACATAAAACCTTATGACTTCAGGTCAAAATTTTCTTGCCTTCTGGTCTTGTCGAAAATTTCTACACCTTGTCAAAATTTTCATAACCTTCTTTAAATTATCTGCTGACCTGTCTTCTTATATATCCCTGAAAGAGGCTCAGACAGATCTCAACTTTTAAATTTACATGGGTAGAAGCCACCGTTCTTATGGAAGGAAAGTACAAGGCGTACATATTTTTCAAATTTAAAAAAGAAATCATGGTTTGTCTTTACTGAATCATTTTTGGCAGTTCTTTTTTTAGTCTTTTTTATATTTACAAACTTTAACAGATAAATGTATCACAACAAATTTATTTGTATTAAAAGAAATTTGATGTGATACATTTCATCTTATTCTCTTGATGTAATACATTTATCTTCTCTTAAATTAGACTAGACTAGGTTTGTGTTTTACTCTTACTTTTAAGTTAAAGTAAGAGTAAAACACAAACCTAGTCTATTATTTATTTTTTAATCATTTTATATTAGTTACAAATCATTTTTTTATATTCTCCCCTCAAGATAATGTGCCATAAACAAATTTAGTTTATAGAAATATTTCTTTTTTTTCTTTTTGAAGAATAATGAAAAATCATTGTATTTAACATTACCCTCAGTTAATATTTTACTAGTTTTGAAACCACCATTTAGTTCTGTTAGCATATAAGAAATCTGTCATATTCCCAAAAGGAATTCACACATTTAAAAATTATTTACATATACTGTATTAAATATGCACCAAATAAACCATGAATAGGAATAGAAGTTTTAACCTTAGCAAAATTGGCTGCCAATTTCTAATTTAAATTGGTTAGGTTTTCCACGACATGATGAAAAATATCAACATTAAAATAAAAATTATCAAACACATTATTGATAAGTATGTGCAAAGAACGATGAATACTATTGTAGGGGCTCAGTGTTTATATTAATGATACTTCCACGGACAGGATTCGAGTAATAATAACAACTCCAATTTGTTAACCAACAAATATATATTGAATAAAATAGAATAACAAGCATGAAATAATTTGTTATTCACAATGTTAATTAAAAGAAGGAAGTTGTTTCCCTTTAACTGTAGATTGATTGTAATCAACTGTTTGAAGAAAGTTCTCTTGTGAGATAAATGTTCCGAAATAATTGTTAGAGCAAAGTTTGCATGTGAATAATGAATAACACGAAGAATACAATTGCTTGGTATGTGTTGTGAATAAACTGGTTTGAATCAACAAAGATCTGGTTGATTGTGCTTGGCAAAAATTACAGGGAGAAAATGTAAGTTTGTAGTTACGAAATTCTGTGTCTGTATGTGCGTTGAGCAAGATCGTGGATTTGTGTTGACGGCTGGAATCTTATTGGAATCTTACTGGCGACTTTTTACAAGTCACCCCTTTTAAGGAAAAAAGGTAGGCTCCCACGGAACTGCGGGAAAACTTGATCTTACATTAAAAATATGTGATTGGTTAAAAATTAACCAATCACTAGACTCGTACTAAACAGAATATGTAAGTATGCTCAGAACCAAAAGATTCAAAGGAACGACTGCGATGGCTAAATTGTCCTATACAAAGGTAGTAGTAGTAATTTATTAGCCAATCGCAGGTGAATAAAATGACTTGGAGTGTTTGTGGGTGTGAAAAACATAGCAATCACTATACAATTATAAAAACCTGTATAAAATGACACCCCTTAAATGTTTTTGTTTTGAACCCAACAAGGCCTTTACTTTAAATTTAGTTTGTTAAACAAAATAATTTTTACCTTTTCATTTTTTAAATATAGATTCAGAGAAATAAGATAAATTATACTTTAAATCAGGTAATATTCCTCAAATAAAGTTTCAGAGAAGTATATTTTAATTTTGGAACATTTTTACTCATTGGGATGAAAGATGGCTAATAAAGGGCGCTAATGAACTATTGTAGCAGACCCCCTGGAAGTGGGGGGCGCGATATGAAACCACGGCCCGAGTGCCCCCGTATGATGAGGTCACAAGAGGCCCACTAACGCTTTTCGAATTAAAGACGTGAAATCTGACAAGGTGAAACAAAATGGACAACAGAACGAGGATATGTATGATTAATGCTAAGTTAATTTACAAAGGAGAGGCCGTATATTGTTGCCTACTGATGGCCCAATGTAGCAGTAATTGAAAGGTGAATAACGTTTTTTTTTTTTGGCGGGGGGTCCCAGATGTTGAAAAAAAAAACCCTATCTGCCGAGTCGGAAAACATATGTTGCAGTGTATAAAGTTTGTGATTTTCTACTTTCATTGGGTCTAATCACAGATTTTATTTTTGTAACTATGTAAATTGTTTTTGCCATAAGTTTATAGTGTCCATTATGCATGGTAGGTTAGGAAGAGAAGTTTATCGATGTTTTTCTTTACTGGCTCTCGGTTTGAAAAAGGTGTGTAAATGTATATTTGAGTCTGTATATATGTAGTCTTGTGTGTTTCTTGTTATCAGGATAAAAATATGCCAAAATCTATTATTAATAGGATGCAGATGTTTTAAACACACTGGGTGATTGTACTGGGAGTTCATTTTTGGTCTTGGATGCGCCAACTGCTGGTGCTCCGATCATGAAACCAGGGCAGCTTGGTTAGTGCCGAAGGTCGATAGGCAATCGGTGTGTTGAATTGGTATTAGTTGGCGGTCGTATCCCAGATTAGGCGGCTGAAACCACTGTGATCCATGGAATGATAGAATGCAGGAGAGTGAAGCCTGAATTGCCGAGTGGATTGGTAAAATACTTTGTGTCTTAAAAAGGAGAGTTGTAGCGAGAAAAGTTTGTCCTGAAAAGGTCAGTTTGCTACCGCATATCATGTAACCGAGAGAAGACTTAGATTTGTCTTGGAAAGGACATTTGATTATTTACCAAAGACCACACACTGAGTCAGGATGTGGCGCAAGGTCAGTTATTTAACGTGAGGAAACAGCGCGTACACTCAGGTCATTGGTCAAAATTTACCCAGCCGCCGCTTAAGCGTGATTGGACACAAAGCTGATCACAGCTGGTTTTGACAGTTTGATCATGTTATAGACAAGCGTATGGTTGCAAGAAGGAAATACGACAACAGCAGAAATAGATTTACGTGATTTATTTCAATAGAAACGTGTGGGTTTGGGACAGCTACCTTGTGGTATAGTTCATAAGCCGGCTCCTGCTCTGGATTGATTTCTCATAGTAGTTCACACTGGTTGGCGTGGCGCTCCTCCTGCTGACTGACCGTGACATGTCTCTTCCCTGGCCTCCTGCTGTTGTACTTGCCCGTGTGACCCCCTTTTATGGCGTGTTTTTTATAGCTTAACAGGCTCGAAAAACGACGCGAGTATAATTAGGAGGGAAGCGTTTTTATTGGTCGAAAAATAGAAACACTTTAAAATATTTTATTTTTCGACCGGAACTCGTGCGTCGGGCGTATGCGTAGACGACGATAATGGTCATTTTGTGACGGGGCCTTGTCCCGTTCACATCCGGCTCTCGCTCTTAAGTATGTTAGGTTATTTGCCTGAAAATCAGCCGAGATATGTCATTTTATTTTATAACAAGGCTCCCCCAGATTTCGGTCTGATTTACAGTGAGCGTTATTCGTGCATATTTGGGTGATTAATTAATGATAAAGTCTCTGAAGCGTGTGGGAAGTTGTCCTCGTGTTCTTATTGGCATTTGTTTTTGTATGGGGTTATTTGCTGAATTATGTGTCTCCGAGGGATGTGGAGTAGAATCATCCTGGTGACTGTTACATGGTGGAGGCAGAGGGATTATATTAGAAAGATGTGTTGGGCGTGGAGCCAGTCGTCGGATATGGGCACGGTGAATCCAGATTGTATCACCATCATCGTTTTGCACCTGACACATCATATTGTTCGTTTTTATAATGGTGTAATTTCCTATCCAGGGCAGATGAGTGGATTGGGCAACAGTTGAGTGTGGCCGGTGGAGTAAAACCTTGTCGCCTACTTGTATTGGGTCCTTGTATGTCAGGCGATTTCATCGTTGGCCAGGGTGACGTGGTGGTGAACCTGCTTTAGCAGGGCATTAATTTGCATTCCATATGCTCCAGGATCGTCACTTGCGATTTCTTTTGTGTAGTGTAGGTAGGCCGATGTTGGGGTGACGGCCAGTAATGGCATAGTGCGGGGAGACACCGGTGGCGCTGTTGGTCGTGGCATTCATGGACGAAACGACAGATTCTAGAACGTCTGTCCATTCACAGTTCCTGTCTTCGCATAACATATAAAGTGCGTTCTTCATCGTGCGATGTTGTCTCTCGATATTTCCTGAGCTTTGCGCGCGCCAAGGACAGTGAAGTTCTTGCGTGATTGACATCTGGATACAGAATTGTCGATAGACTTCTCCAGTGAAGTGTGTTCCTCGATCAGAGGATACTATGCGTGGAATCTCTCTGTGTCGAAGGAAGAACTGGTACAATCCGCGGGCGGCGTCGATAGCACGGTCTCTCACGCATGGTATGGCTGTAAAGTATCGGCTGAAGCTATCCAAGATGG